TGTTGGATCTATAAAATAATTTGGCAAGGGAGCGCAAGTTCTTCTCAGTGAACCCCAAATGCTATTCTGGAGGGTTTTATGTCAAGATCCCATGAGGTTCCTTTGCTGCGGAATAGGGTATGCCCAAGCCCTCAAACCCCATGTCTGGAGAGCCTGTGACACTGTGGTTAGACAGAGCACCTCCCCAGCCCCAGGGGAAACATGAGGTTCTGAGGGTACCACAGTGTTGGAAGAGACCATGGGTCTCTTGTTAGCTGGGGACAGGTCAGGTGGGGGAGTGGAAAGCTCTCCAAACTTGCAATCAGGAAGTCTGGAGGGAGGCTCTGCCCTTCCTACACCCTGCACGCACCAACAGATCCACCAGGGGCCCTGCCAGTGCTCAACAACCAGAGGGAAACAACACTTGTCACCTTCTTCCCATCCCCCCTGAGCCTTGGGGCTCCTAGAATAGGCTGTTCTGTGTGATGCTCCCTGGCTCAAATTCGTTATAATCCCTGGGCTGCAGTCCCTGCCAGGAAGAGCAAAGGTGTCCTTTGTGCTGAACGCCTTGCTCTGTTCAATGTGACTGGGACTGACCAAACCACGAGGTTTTCCACACACGCTCATTCAGGCAAACTCTTCTGGCACAGAGCTAGCCAGAAAACAAAGCAGCAAGCAATGCAAAACAAAAACAATGCCTACGCTGACAAGGAACTGGAAAGCCCTTTCTTCCTATTATTTTTTGGCCAAATTTCCTGTCTTTAGAATGTGCTTCTTTCCCTCCCTATCAGGCAGGGTGCCCTCCCTGCAGGTGGGCAGGTTCTAGGTGCTCGATCGTCCTCTATGCTGCTCTGTGCTGCCAGGGCTCCAGTCCCCTCTCCTGCCGGGTGATCACACACACCACACTTCAAGGACTCAGTAAAGGGAGGTCACCGTCTTCTCAGTCTCATCCAGAAGTCTTGTCTCAGCACGTTCAGAATACACGCACACATGTGCGTGCACACACACATGCACGCATGACCACACCACATCTATGACATACAGAACAGCACTACACCTCACGCATATACCACCCTTATGGCACGTGAAACATACAGATCACACATAAATAAACATCACACGCACACACTCTTATATGTGCCCAGACACCAAGCGCACACACACACACACACACGTGCACACACACACATGGAATCAGCTATTGTTTGGGGCAGGAACTAAGTCTGCACCAGCTTTTGACCTCTCCCAGCCCCAAACACTTCTCGAGCCCCAGATCACAGAGAAATGTCAAGGGGGCTCCTTGTCTCGACTGTGAATAATTAGCCGATACCCACCAGAGATGCTATTTTAGGCAGCCACAGAGAAGCTGTCTTTTGAGTGGTCCAGCTCACTCCAGGCCCATGGTGACCCAGGCTGCTGGTCATTTCAGGGTAGTCCTTGGTAGAGCCAACGATGCACACAGCCAGAGCCCAGCAAGCTGGCATGACCGGTTGGTCACCTACTGATATCCTGGGCCAGCAAGTAGCATGGAGGTCAAAGTGCCTGGCTCCCACATAGCTGACTCTGCGGTTCAGTTTCTGGACCTGGCTGCTTAAAAATCATGTGGGCACATGTGCATGTGCGTGCATGCCCCAAACCCCAAGAATGGAGAAGGAATTGCAGCACGGCCACCACCCCTGGGAGGTGATTTCCCACTTTCCCCCCCACTCTCTCTGTCTCTCTCGGGCAAGCACACATGCCTTAAAGAAAAACAAACAAACAAAAAATATTGACATACTCCTATATGGTCGGTAAAGCCACGGTTGTCCTGAGCCCTCCGAGGGCCACACTTCTGCTACTTTAGCCCTGCTCCTGGGCCCCTCTGGGATTCACCAGCTGAAGGGTTCATGCACTCGGTATGAGGTGGTCACATGATAGAGTCGACTAACCATGAAGAGGGGATGTTGAGTATTCGCTCGTTCATCCTCTGGCCAGGAAGGCGGACGCTCATGCCAGACGCTACGTGACCTCTCGGGACACAGCTGCGGCAGCCTCCCTGCAGCCTCACGCTAACAGGTGAGCAGAGATGCAAAGGGGCAATTGGAGCCCAGAGGGGTGAGTTCTACCCCAGGGGATGTGCACACACATGCCAAAGGTGCCTGGAACTGGGGCACCAACTCGGACGTGGAGAGCTCAGAAAACACTGCCCAGAGGGCGTGTGGTCTACACTGAGACCCAAGCTGTAAGTAAAAGCTGTTGAAGTAGAGAAGGATGAGGAGGAAGGTGTTCTGAGGATCAGCCTGTGCAAAGACCAGAGGCAAATGAGAAACAAAGTCATTCACGAGGCAGAAAGGCGTTGATTGCATATATTGTAGCATGCTGGATCAGGCGAGGCCAGCGTGAACTCGGGAGGGAGACACCTGGGCAGGCAGGTTCCCAAGGCAACAGAGCAGGTAAGTCACGAACATAGGAGTATGTCAATATATTTTTTTTTGCCTGGGATGAGTCTTGGCTCTGCCACTTCCTAGTCAGTGACCCTCAGAAAGGCTATGTGGTCTTCTCTGCCTCAGTAGAGTCATTGTAATTCTTACCTCCCAAAGGAGATGGATACGGGTGATGCCTGTAACGCACCTAGGACTTCCTGGCACGTGATAACTGTCAGTTCCTATCAGCTGCCATGAACTTCTAAATCCCTCCAGCAAGTCAAGAATGGTCCCCAAGTAGGGGACAGGATGGGTCTACAGGTCTGTGTAATTAAAGCTAACCAACTGCCTGTTACTCTTAGAAGAAATATCAGGCCCGGGCATGGTGGTGTGCCCTGGTTGCTTTGGCAGGCTAAGGCCCCATGGGAGGCCTAGGGTTGATTCCTAGTCCACCCTTAAAAGCCAGGGGAGAGGACATTCAGCTGTGGTCCTAGCTACTCAGGAGGCTGAGGCAGGAGGATCATGACATAGCGTGTCCAGAAACAAAACAAAGAGGGGAAGAAAGAGAAGGAAATGCTTAATATCAAATAAATAGCATGTCCAGCATTTTAGCCCTCAGGATAGCGACGGTTATCAAATAGGTATTTAAAAGATACAAAATGGTGTCCATCCATTTGCTGGCTGAAGTATTCAAACTTATCCTGGGCAAGTGAGGATAGGAGGGGGCAGTAGCCTGGGAGCTGGGAGTGCAGCAGCATTTCCAGAGGAAGAAGCACTCCCTCAGCCCCCACCCCAGCCCCAGGAGGGACAAGATGGAGATGCAGCTCTCCTGTCAGGGGCTGGCATCACCCAGTTCTAGCTCCTATTCTGCACTTGCTAGCTGTGTCCTTTGGACTACTCCCAGGCGCATCTCTGAGCTTCCATTTCCTCAGCTGCTAACCAGGCTAATGAGTGGTAACTGTATTAGTAATACCTTCAGGGTTGTCCAAAGAGTTGAAGGAGAGGGACCAGCAGTTAGCGTAATGGCTATGTTGCTGGACTCCTATGTAATTGACCACGGTTCAAATCCCAGACCCAGTTGCGTAAACTCATGCCAAGTGCGTGTGCATGCCCAAGATCCCGAGAGGAGAATGGAGGAGAAGGGATTGCGGCGTGACCATCCCCCCTGGGGGGTGATTTCTCGCTTTCTGTCTCTCTCTGTCTTTCTGGCGAGCGCACGCGCTCTATAGAAACAAACGTCTCTAAATAAATAAATAAATGAGTTGAAGGAGATAAGCCAAGTATTACCAGAGCAATTGTGCATGGCAAAATGTTAGAGGACTGGGTAGGAAAAAGCCTTCTACCCAGCAAACCAGTAGATCCAAAAGTTGAAAAAGAAACTGATGACAAACATCAAGCATGATGATGTCGTATTTGATGTCACTTTCGGTTCTTATTCCCCAAAGGCTCATGTAGTGACTCAGTCTGGAAGCTTTTCAGCTTCCAGCCCTTGAATGTGAAGTGTCGCTGGCATGTCTGACAGTAGTCTCCTCTCATTCACTCCTCAATAAACAACGTTGAAATACAAAAGAAGCTTGTGTAAAAATTCAGTACTGTCCGTCTTTGATTCATTTCATGTTTTTAATGTAAGAATGACCTAATTTTTTTTTTAAGTAATAGCTATAGCTCTGAATGTTCTTCCCCTATTATTTGTGCAATTCGAGCTTGGAAGCATCTGGTTTTTACTGTCTTCCACCTTAATTTAAGCTAGGTTGTGATACATCTATTCCACTCACAATTGGTGTCCTTTTAAAGTTTTGCAAATTTCAGCCAATAGTTTTTTTTAAACTAGGATTATTCTGGTTAGATAGATCAAAAAGATTTGGCTTATTTTCATTGCCAGTTGTAGTTGGTGTAGAGCCACACACACCTTTTGAACAAAAGTATTATGGCTAAAGAGAAGCATCTGGTTTTTACTGTCTTCCACCTTAATTTAAGCTAGGTTGTGATACATCTATTCCACTCACAATTGGTGTCCTTTTAAAGTTTTGCAAATTTCAGCCAATAGTTTTTTTTAAACTAGGATTATTCTGGTTAGATAGATCAAAAAGATTTGGCTTAATATTTTCATTGCCAGTTGTAATTGGTGTAGAGCCACACACAACTTTTGAACAAAAGTATTATGGCTAAAATTATTTGCTGAAAATTTCAGTAATATGTGTGAATGTTTTTTCTTTATGTATTAATCTCATAGCAGTAAAAGACTTGCTGTTCTTTAAATAACTTTTCTAAGGGAGCTCAATAGATTTCTGTTGAAAACTTCAGTGTTAACATTTTTATAGTTTGCACTAAATTTAACCGTGATATAAAAATGAATTGTATGCATAGATCAGAATTTTAAAATTAAAGGTTTTTTCTTTAAAAAAAAAAATGTTAGAGGACTGACTGTTTCTTCTCTCTCTCCAGCAACAGCCTCATTTTTCAGTCAACCGTTGCCTGGCCTTTAACTCCCTACCCAAGGTTCTCTGCTTTGCAGACACGTTCTGACTTTCCACCCTACATTGCTCCTGACTTTTCTCAAGCCTCTTGCGTCTAGTAACTAACACAGAGTGTCATGTGATTGCCCTGTAGTTCTCTCACCTGCTAGTTTTCTCTCCCATGTTAAGCTCCTTGGGCTGAGGAACTGCATCTTCCATTGCTGGGTGGTTTGTGGAATCCAGCGCAGAGCCAGGCGTCTGGTGGTTACTCAGTAACTACTCGCTCACCATGGAGCTACAAGGGGAGAATATGCACAGACAGATGGGCCGATGTTGTGATGTCAACGAATCTAGTTAGTTGTCAGAAACTGTGAAAAATATGCCAAGATTTGGACTTGAGCAATTATCTCATAACTTTGTAATAATAATCTCTTTTATTAACTCAAGAATGAGCAGTGATGCAAAGGGGCACTTAGAGAATGAGTTCATTAAAAAAAAAAAAAAAAGGTTTATTGGAAGGATACAACACGGCCTCCGGGCACACACCTTCAGGAAGCACAGTCGGGGCACCCAGGGGACCGGTGAAGCCATGCAGCTTTCCTCTCTCAGAATCTCTCTCTCTCTCTTTCAATCCCTCAGTCCCTGTGCTCCTTCACCTCTGCTTCTCTTCATTTCTCCTATAGGTGTTAATGTCTCTTCCACAATAACTCGCTGTTTCGGGTCACTGCTACCAAACACGGCCTCAACTCTCCAAGATTTATAGCACCGGTGGCCCACTCCACTCGATTGGTTTCTGTGTCTCTGTCTTTGAATTCCTGAGAGAGACTCAAATTGTTCCAACTCTCATCAGCTCCCCCGTTCCAGTTCAATCTGTCGCGACCATGGAGTGCGTTCCCTGGGAGAACGTGGCCGCACGTGCCTTCTCCTAGGGTACGGGGAGCACATTCCACGTAAAGGACATGGGCCATGAAGAGCCAGAGCCGATTTCCCAACGAGGGACGCAGGCCCCAACAAGTCGGTCGTTCTCAGTGAGCGCGTTCACCAGGGCCATTGATTTCAACGCACCTTGTCTGTTGCCGTCTTAAACTTTCCCAGACTATTTCAGTTTCTGAAAGGGGAAGGAGGATTCTGATTTCCAAGATCTTTTTCTAATGGTGGGGACTCAACCATCAGACCCAATGACTGTTCCAAGGTATGAACACAGAGCAGGCAAAGCAACTGAGGGGGCAGAAATGTGGGACATGAACTTAAAAGGTGGGCCAAAGCAGTGAGTCAAATCAGCTGTCATCTTAAGCTACCAGATTGGCAGACCGTGCAGAGAATGACGGCACGCGGTGTTGGCAGGCTGTGGGGAAACAGGAAATTAGGTGTTGCTGATAGGAGCGAAAAATGAAAAGCACGGCTGACCGCAGGCTATGTGGCAATGTGTCCCGAAACTGTCACTATTCATCCCTTGTAAGCACCAATTCCAGATCCAGGGACTTACGTAAATCATTGGACAATAGTTCAAGGACGTTTATATGAGCATGTGAATGCAGTACCCTCCAGGTGAGGAATAAAAACACTTCAATGGCACACGAGCTTGTTTAGGTAGATTATAATAGACTATCATAAACTTTTTTTCTTTTTTTGCTTTAGGGCCCATAAGCTCGCCTTGGAGAAAGAGACAGAGACAGTGAGAGACAGTGAGAGAGAAAGTGAGAAATCATCCCCCGCAGGGATGGCCACACCGCAATCCCTTCTCCTCCAGGAACACACACATGTGCACCCGTGCAAATGATAAAATTGCAATTCACATAGGATCTGATTCATAGAAACTTTTCCACATTCAACTCTGTGGACATTAGAATAGTCTGGGAGGGGAACCAGCAGTTAGCATAATGGCTATGTCGCTGGACTCCCACGTAGTCGACCGCGGTTCGTGTCCCGGACCCGGTGGCTTAAAACTCACGCCGGGCGCATGTGCGTGCGTGCCCAAGATCCTGAGAGGAGAATGGAGGAGAAGGGATTGTGGCGTGACCATCCCCCCT